TCTACAGTGGAGTTTTGAGGATGATATTGTAAATATTGATTTGTAACTATTGGTGGAGAAAATAGCAGGTCTCAAGACTGCTTTGTGTGAGCAAGGAAGAATATTTCCAGAGTGAAAAATTAGTGAGGCAAGCTGTGCCAAAATAGCCACAGCCATTTGTTTTTTAAAAACTGAAAGTGAGGGGATTTGGAAGTGAATCTGGTTGGATGAGTATGTGAGTCAGTCAAGAGTTTCAGTTAGATGTTGACAGTTGATGTTCAGGTAGAGAGTTAGTTCTGTGTTGAAGCAGTTAGAAGTGGACAGCTGCGGTTGTTCAGTGAGAGAGAGAGAGAAAGCTGAAAGTTAAATGAATAGGAAACAGTAAAGTTTCAGTGACCAAAAGTTAAAGGAAAGTCTGAGTGTCATAACAACTGGAGTGAAACAGTGAACACATGTGGCATTGAGATAAACAAGTGTTACAAAGTTACATGAAAAGATCCCTGTCAGTGAGGGAAAAGATTGAGTGTGATACCAAAGAAATTGTACATCATTTACACATTACTAGTTACATTGTATCACCCTCTTATTTAGTATTTATTTCAATAAATCCTCTTTTATTTAAGTTTATACCAGCTCTGAATGAAATACTTCTCAGGACCACATAGTTCCTCGTAAGCCTTAAACTCGGTCTACCAAACTAGTAAGAGCCAAAGTAAAAGCATAAAGGTTTGGAAATCCTTAACATTTCCTGATGGCAGCAGAATCTACCCAGTAAAGAAAAATAAAGTGAACTTTTAAAGTGAAACTAGTCCTCCCTAATAAGGAGGACATCACAATGCTCTTCAAAAGGAACTGAAGGAAACTAGCATAAGAGCAGCGAAGACAGCTAAAAAGCTGAAAAGGGTTGATTATAAGACATACACGTTAAACCAAAGACTAGAGGTAGTGGAAAAAGAGAGGACCTCCAAGAAACAACAGCTGTTACAACTGCAGATGGAACAGTCATCATATCTCCTGAGATTTCAAGGAATTCCAGAAAAAAAGGAGAGAACCTGAAAGAGATCTTAAGCGAAGCCCTAGCTTCAGTGGCAGACTGTAAAGCGGAATCTTTACAAAGTGATATGGATATGGTATACCGAACCTATCCAGAATTTATTAAGAAAAACAAGCTGCTCGGTGAAGTGTTGGTGAAATTCTCTAAAAGGTCAACAAGAGATATGATATTGAAAGCGACTAATGGAATAAACTTAAAAATCAAAGGAGAAGAAGCAAAAGTTTTAAAAGATGTTCTATTTGAGGTGACAAAGAGAAGGAAGCAATATAGAAACCTGACATTATTTCTACCAAAAAACCCCACTCCCTACAGATGGATAATACCAGAAGGACTTATCTTCAACTTTAAAGAGAAAAAAGGAAATATTGACTCTGTTACAAAAGCAAAAGCATTTTTGGAACAGCACCAAAGTTCAGCGGAAGAAAAAGGAAAAGCAAAGGATAATAATCAGAGGTCATTTCGGGGGGGATTGCGGGGGATTGCAGTTCCCCCGGGTGAGGTATGGGGGGCGGGGCACATGATGAAGCCCCGCCCCCTGCTTCCGGTTGCCCTGCTCTTCCGGTCCTCATTCAGCCAGGAGGAGGCAGGAGAAGAGGGAGGGTATGTTGCTTCCTCCCTGCCTCTCCCCACCCCTGCCTGCCTGGGGCCAGGGAGGGCCTTCGCGGGGCTTCCTTGCACTCCCACCGGCCTTGCAGGTCCACCGCCAGGCCCCTCATGGAGCTCGGCAGTGGAGCTGCAAGGCCGGCGGTGGCGGCCGGGACCGTTGGGGGCGGGGTGTGTGGCCTTATGACACACTTCCGGTGATGTCAGGGGGTGTGGCATATGCTAATGAGTTATGCTAATGAGTTCCCCTAGCTCTTTTTCTACGAAACAACCCCTGATAATAATGTTGCAGAAGATAACAGTGAACACGGATCCAGAAGCAGTAGCAGTTCATTGAGTAGTTCTTCAGAAAGAACTCTGGACTCTGAATCAGAATTAGGAGAAGCAGCTCCTAAACATCTTAAAATTAAGCTGCCCTTTGATAAAAACAAACGTAGAAAAAAGAAAACCGATAAATAGCTTAACTCTGAATAGATTGCTTTTTAATTAATATTTGAAATACTAAGAAGCACTCACTATGGCTAATTATGCATGTAGTTGTTTGAATTAATGATATTAACAGCTAACCTCCATTTAAAAAACTAAATAGGGAATACCAAGAAACTTGGTATATGATCCTTGCTTACTTTGTATTTTAGTTTAGAATATCCCTTACCCTTATCCTTTGTAGTGTGTAGAGTTTAAAAGCAATAAAAACATTTTTGAAAATAACAGATTCTCACATTCTTCAGTTTGAAAAGGAGGAGGAAGGATCCAATCCCGAGCTGGTCACACCTTACTTCGGTGACTTTTGAGTATCCCATGAACCCATTGTCTTCTTTGGGAACTATAGTACCCAGGGAAGTACTCTAGGTCTGTAGCGCTCAAAGAGACAGCATGACATATCATGCAGTAAGTACTGATGGAGATGGAATTCATTCATATTATTGCCTTGTTGCTCAACTGCAGATGGAGCAAAACCTGTTGTAAGATTTAAATGAATAGGCACAAATGTTTTCTCACTGAAGATGTCAACTCACTGTGTGACTGCAATAAAAAAGGCAAATGCTGTGCTGAGGATTATTAGGAAGGGGACTGAAAACAAATAAAACAATATCATAATGCCCTGTATAAATCTATGGTGTGGCCTCATTTGGAATACTGTGTACAGTTTTGGATGCTGCACCACACCTTAAAAAATATTCTAGCATTGGAAAAACTGCAGAAAAGAACAACTAAAATGATTAAAGGAATGAAACACTTTCCCTATGAAGAAAAGTTAAAGAGGTTAGGGCTCTTTAAGTTGGAGAAATGATGATTGAGGGGTGACATGATAGAGGTTTTCAAAATTATTTATGGGATAGCGAAGGTAGAGAAAGAAATATTTCTCTCACACAATTCAAGAACTTGTGGACACACAATGAAATTAATGAGCAGTAGGCTTAGAACAGTTAAAAAGAAGTACTTCTTCACCCAAAGAGGAATTAACACGTGGAATTTGCTGCTGCAGGAAGTGGTGGCAGCTATAAGCATAGACAGCTTCAAGAGAGGATTGGATAAAAATATGGAGCAGAGGTCCATGAGTAGCTATTATCCACGAGGTATAGATGGAATACTATGTCTGGGGCAGTGATGCTCTGTATTCTTGGTGCTTGGGGGGCAGCAGTGGGAAAGCTTCTGGAGTTCTGGCCCCACTGGTGGGCCTCCTGATGGCACCTGGTTTTTGGCTACTGTGTGACACTGAGTGTTGGACTGGATGGGCAATTGCCCTGATCCAACATGGCTTCTCTTAAGTTCTTAGTTTTTACCTCCCTTACTCAGAGGAGCTCAGACTGGTATACATGCTTCTCTTCTCCATTTGTTGTTCACAATACCCCTGTGAAGTGTCAGCTAGGCTGAGAGACTGTGACTGACCCAAGGTCACACAGTCAAATCAATGGTTTAAGTGGAGATTTCAATACTTGGTCTAGCACTCTAACAATTATACCTCATAGACCCTTGTGATGGTCCACCCTTGACTGTCTGGGTATTATAGCAAAATCATTCCTGAAGTTGAAAAGAATAAGCCAGTCCTGAGAGGAGACATTAGATCTTTTCCCCTCAGCAAGACTGAATGTCACAAGGCAGAAGGCTATCCAGTTGAGAGCTGGCACTAATTTTTCAGGCTTTGTATGTTGCCTGTAGAAAGTACAAAAGAGATATTTTGTGAAATTGAGTGGCATATGGGCCTTACATAAGCCCTAGGCAGTGAGGTGAAGACTCCCTTTCTTAAATAAACTTCAGCATTATTTCATTATTCTGGAAAAGGTTACAGGCCTGCATTCCAGCCAAAGCAAATTTTGACTCCGTTCCCGGCTCCCTTTGGGTAAACATTTTGGTTTTTTAAAAATTAAAATCTGGGTCATTACAATTTAGTAAGCAATTGATAGGACAGTCTTGAGACAACTGTGGCATGAAGGGAGAAATGATCAAAGAACTTTCTTGCCTTTAATGAAAGTTGCATTGAAGGTCTCTCATTTTATCCCCATGCATTTATGGGGTTTTACCTTCATTTTCAAAAGCAAATTAAAATTCAGGATGTACAACTTCTCCCCCCCCCCCCGACATTTTCACTGGTTTTACAGAAGGTTGTTGTGAGAATAAAAATGGAGGGGGGCACATTCACATATACTAATCTGAGCACCTTGGAGGGAAGATGAGGAAAATGTGATTGATGGGAATTTTGAAATTTACCTCATAATCTAACCTCAGTTGAAATTGGATGGTATTTGTAATTAAAAGAAACCTTCAGTAAAAATGCTAATCCATAGATTACTTCAGGGTGGTGGCCTACAGCATGAGTACTGGCTCAGTATCTTGTTTTTTATATAAAGAAGGTTTTCTTTCCCTTCTCCAGCAGTAAAAAGATTTCCCACTCTCTGATCAGCAGGGTGAGTCTGCCTCTCACTGGACTGTGAGTAGAACTCGTAAAAGTGTGTTTGGCAGGCAAGGCCTGTTGACAGAGGAATCAAGGAAACCTGCTGACTCAAGTCATTCATGGCATGTTGGGTGAGCCAATCTGAGTATATCCCCTTACTGACAGTATGGTATAGTCACACAGTGAAGTGGAAAGTTTCCTGAGGGCTTTTCTGTGTTTCCAGGATAAGCCAAGCAATCTCTGCAAAAAACTATTCATGTGAATTGATAAGTAGTATATGTATAGCAAAAATGCAAGTATGCATTAGACAGCACTACTCTACCTCCTGTCCTTGTAGTTTATACCATTCCTCTGGTGGTTTTGTTGAAATATATTGCCTATGATGCCAAATCTGATTGTACTAAAGGCTGGAGATGGTATTAATCCATTGTCAATTGTTACTCACAGATCCTTCTTCCTTTATTACAGTTATCCGAGCCAAAGTAGTGGGCAAGAAGCTTATGAAGGATGGACCTTTTGGAACAATGCGATATACTGTCAAACAAATGAAGGTGCGTACAAAGATATCTACCCATGCAGAATGAACAGTGCAGTCCATAAGAGAGTTACATCCTTCTAAATCCATTGAAGTCAATTGGCTTAGAAGGGTGTAATTCTACTTAGGATTGTACTGATAGACAGCAAAGGGTTTCAGTAAAAATGTTAGAATTTGCATCTTGGTCTTCCCATACTCTTCCTACTATGATTGTTCCCTCTAATTTTCACCCTACTGAGCAGAACAGTTCACATTCTGAGCAGAATATGAGCTTTCATTAATCACTGCTCACTTCAGATACTTCTTCAGATAGCAGTGACTCACAGAAGTTCATCCCCTGCCACAGATTTTGCTAGTCTTTAAGGTGCTATGGAACTCTCTCTTTTAGACTGCTACACAGACTAACACAACTACCAATCTTGCCTATGAGTAGAATATAACTGCTGTAATCTTAAAATGGGCAATGGGCAATGCAAGACCCTGCATGGCTGCTGCTGTGTGTGTGTGGGGGTGTTTCCTGTGTGAATGAGTGACTGCTCACATGCACAGCTTAGAGGGAACATGATGACTATGTGTCAATGAAAATGCACCTAATTAGAAGCTATTTCAAAATGTGAACGGTCTTTCTTTCTCCATGCGACTGTGTGCTTATGTACACAATTGCATGGAAGAACATGGCTACTTGTATGTGAGAACCAATGCTTATGATCTCCTTTAAGTCTGTAATCAATTTGACAAATGTTTGAGTGGTACAGGGGATGGGTGGATAGGTCTAGTTGTATTATTGGTAGAAGCAAAGTAACAACAGGTGTGGTACCCATGGATGTAAAAGAGTGAGAGAAAACCAAATTGCTCTTTTCTAGTAATGTTAAATATAGGGCAGTTGTTCTCTTTCTGCGCAAAACAAACACTTGCATGAACATTCAAAGAAATAACTTCTAAGCTACTCCAAACGCTACAGGACAGAATTTCAGTTGCCATAGAACTGACTGTTGGTAGTCACCCATGCCTTCATCCAGGGTTGCTACTGTAACAGCCTTGGTTTGAGATACTGTTTTACACTATGGTCATGCTGTACTTTTGGTACCAACTCACATGACTAGTGAAACTCAATCCTATGAGAATTCCAATATGCCTCTAGGTCATAAGTCATCCTGTTCTTGCTCATTTTCAAGATTTCTGCATGTTAAGACTCTCCTTTTGGTGCCATGCTATGATTGCAATCAAAATTGGGACCCCCACGGGACCCCATTCAAAGAACACTCAGCTTCATGTCAAGTTACACCCTTATTCTTGGGCAATTTTAGCCTGGTTATATTTGAGCTGCTGACTTTGCAGAGGGAAGAGTTGTTTCCTCCCCTTCCAAGGCTCCCTTCTGGGCTTTTCCATCTGATGAGCAAATTTCACTTAAGCCTGTTGCTTTGGACATTCTTTTGGGAACTGACCTCTTGTTATGTAATCTTAAAAAAATCAGCTCTGGTTTATTTTTCTTGGCTGGTTAATATCTTTGTAAGGGAAAAAGAAAGAAAGAAAGAACAAAGAAAGGATTTTTGGCAGTGATTACAGAAATCCGAAACATATTAGACAAAGTAAAGGTTTAGAAAAACAGCCACTTGCCTGCTCCTAATAACAATAATTCTCTTTATAAGGCATCATCCAGCTAAGCATAAAAGCTACAAGACAGCTGAGCCTGTTTCATAAGCCAGACATAGCTGCCAAAGCCAGTCTTGACACACCTCCTTCCCTGGAGGGGAATTTTTGCTTGAAATCTCACAAGTTACTTCTGTTCTTTAGTTGTGTAGCTGCATTCATTTTTATGAGAAAAAATCAGGGTTGCATCCACACTTCATCAGACATTGCACTATAGCAGTGATTTACAACTGGATACAGCAGTGATTCACAACTGTGTGGACAAGATAATCCAGGAGGAGAATGATTGTTATAGTGCAATACCCAGTGTTGTATGGATGCAGCTCAGGTTATTTGCTGAGTACTCAGTTTATGACACCCAGTGGCTAATGACTGGGTCTGAGAAGACTACATTTATGTGATGAAGGCCAAGTGCTAAGAGTGTTTGAAGGGCCAAGCTAGATGTTACAGCATCACAAGCCATATGTTAGCACGGGAGTCATGCCAAATTCCTATACAGGAGGAGAGAGGCAATAATCAAAAGGACAGCATAGAAAAATGGATGGAGACTTTATTTCTCTCTTGTCCACACTCCACCTTTCCCCTCCATGAAACTTCTGCTCTTTTCTTCCAGTGCGGGGTTACTTTCAGTCTTGGAGGCCCACTGGGAGAAGAACAGTTAGAGGGGGAGAGCACAGGCAGGGGAAGGCCCTCATTTTACCTGTCCATGCTGCAGTTTCTATTTTTTCCCTATCAACACTTTATAGGAATTAAAGAGTCCCAAGTCTGACATACGTGGCTGGTGCCATCACAGTTTAGCATGATGTGCAGCTAGGGGTGTGAATTTGTTGGCCACGCTTCTGTGCCTTGAAGAGCAGCCAGACATGTAGACAATAATCATTCATAACATTTACATAGAGCTTTCAAAGGTTCCCCATACATTATCTTTCTATAGCCTTTACAAGGCAGGGACTGTTACTCCCCCTACTGCTGACTGGGGGCATGAGAAAGAGGCTTGCCTAAGAGTAATTAGTGAATTGGTGGCAGAGGTGAGATTTGAAGTGATCCATAGCACAGTCGTAGTCACATGGCTATACTGATTAAGCAAGTGGAACTTTTTGTGGCTACTTTCCATTTCAGGCCTTCTGATTAATGTTGACTTATCATTCTGCTTGTTGAAGGCACCGGAGCAAGGTTAGATAATGGTGGCCAGTCCTACATGCTATGCTTTTGGACTGTTGAGTAGATTCCCTGTTTTCCTCCACTCAGTGGATCATGTTCAGTGTCGGGTTTTGTGAGGCTGTCCCAGAATTCTTCTTTGCTGAGACTTTAGAGCACAAGACATAGTACTCCAGAAATAATTACCACCTTAGGAAGACAAAGAGGGCTCTACTTTGTCTCATGTGTGGATGGTAGATCTGTAATAAGATATTTTGACATTGTTTTGCTACACGGGAAATATTTAAAAACTCATAGAAGCTTGTTGGCTTACTCAACTGTTCTAGGCTTTTCATACCTAGTCTTGCTGTGATCAAGGATGATCAAATATGACAGCAGTTGCATGGTTACTGAAGAAAATTTTTCTCTTGTGGTTAAGGTTCTGCATGGCTGTCTCCTTCTCTTGTGAGCTCTCTAGATCACAAAATAAACAGCAAAAACTCTCTGAGGCTGTTGGCACTGGCACCAGTACAGTGAAGCAGGCTCTGATCAAATCCAAATTAGATCTGCACTGATTACCCATCTGTCTCTGGGCACAATTAAAAGTGCTGGTTCTTACCTTTAAGGCCTTAAATGGCTCAGGGCCAGGGTACCTGAAGGACCATCCCCTCCCATACTATCCAGCCCACCAGTTAAGATTTGCCTCTCAAGTCCTGTCCTGTGTCCCCACCTTCAGAGATGAGGCAGGTGACAACTAGAGACAGGGCATTTTCTGTGGTGGCAGCACCTCACCTCTGTAGCACTCCCCCCCCCCCGAGGCTCCCTGGATACCAACTGTATTTTCTTTTAGGCATCAGGCCAAAACATGTATTTTTACCCAGGCTTTTAAGTGGTTTTTTTTTAATCTTACCAGCTTTTCAATGTTCTGCTTCTGTTTTATGGATAGTTTTTAAGCTGTTTATGTCCAAAGGCTTGTTTTTAATGGCTTTATAAAAAATCTTACTATGTGTTTAAACTGAAGCTGCCTCGAGCAGGAATCTGAAAAGGCAGCATAGACATATCCTAAATACAATGGTGATGGGGGATAGTTTGCTCCCCATGCTTCAGTTTGTTTGGACTCTATACAATTCAGGTCCAGATTTCATGCAAGCTTGAGCTAGATCCAGGGTAGCTCCCTGCTAGTCCTCTTTTCCAAATTTACCTTGAGGTGACTATACATACGTTTATATCAAAGGGCTTCTTTGTCAGTATATTATCAATTCACAGTGGAAGGGAAAATATGTGAATGAAATGAAGAAACTGAAAGTTGAGGCAAACTGCACATGCACTGCATTCTGGGAAATAGTTAGAAAATTGAAAAGGAAGCAAAGGAGTATTCTTACTGCATTGCACTGTCAAAACATCCATATAACACTTCAAAATTCAAGAAGAAATTAGGTGAAGAAAAAGCTCAGAAACACCTGTTCTTCATTCCAGCTCTCCTTAAATATATTTCCCAGGTTCCGTTGCTTGCCACCCATAAGAACATAAGCTCTACTGGGTCATGATACCACTAATGCATGTAGTCCAGCATCCTGTTTCACTCACTGCCCAACCAGTTGCCCTGGAGGGCAACCAACAGGGCACAGAGGCCAAGATCTTTCCCTGATGCTGGCTGTCTGCCTCTGAATGTGGAGGTTCACTTTAGTCACCATGGCTACATTCCTCTGTTGTCTCACCAGTGTTCCTAGGGTGTCTCTTCCGTTCTTCCCTGCCCCACCCAACATTACCCTGCTGTTAGTATCTTTCATCCTCACTTCCAACCCTTGAGTAATTCTTTTCCTACCACTGGATCACTTTCTGTCTTCCCCACCTCGGTGTTTAATGCTTTACTGTACTTTATTACATACAAATGAATGGCAGCCATTCAAATGAACACATGGAACTGCTATAGACTGAGTCAGCCCATTGGTCTGTCATGGTCAGTATTGACTATTCCTGCTGGCAGCAGGATCCCAGATGGTAATTTCATATCAACAGCCGCCTGATCCTTTTAATTGGAGATGCCAGGGATTGAACCTGAAAACATCTGCATGCAAAGCAGATGCTTTACCACTGAGCCACAGCCCTACCCCCTTATTCACTTACATAAAAGAGCGTAAAACAGTATGCTCAGGAATACCATTAGGGCTGAACTATACATTACATTGTCCTCATGTCCCCCACTGTGTCCATCCTTGTCCTGTCAACTGAATATTCAGTGGGAGGTCTATGCTGAGAATTCCCAGGCATATTGAGCACCTCTTCCTGTGTGCTGTGGTCCTGGTCCAAGTTGGTCTTCCATGCCCCTGTGAATCAAGTTCTGAGCACAGAACTCTCAGGTCACAACTGGCTGACAGAACTGGGATGGGGGAGTAATATGTAATGTATAGTTTGTCCCTTAAGAGTGTTCCTATTTCCTGGGTGCTGTTTCTTGAGAAGCTGGCTTATGCAAATAGATTCCCTTTTGTAATTAACATTATTTTATAAAGTAAGTTGTCAGAAAGTTCCAGAAAGTTGTCAGTTACTCATATATATGATGACTATTTTTTTGACTATTTATTAAAAATTGTCTTACTCCAAAAGTTCATGCTCTGTCATTTCCAATATGGTGTCATTCTGTAATCCTTGTTATTGCCTGGGAATCTAAAGGCAGCCTATTCTGGGCCCTTTCCAAAAGAGCTTTACACAACAACGCAGCCACTATTACTACTGCTGACACTGTCAACATGTCTAATAAATTAGAACGACAAACCGCACATGCAGCTGACAGTACCTTTTTTCCATGTGCACATCATCCTCAGACCGAGGTGGGAGACTGGAAACTCAATAGCCATACAGGGGAAAGGCAGTTGAAATTCATGGGATTTGGGGGGGGGCATTCCTCTGTGGCATCAGTTTTGAGGTCATCATGAAGCAAGACGAACCACATGATTTACATGTGGATTTTTCTTGCACATTCCCACCTAATCCCCAAGAATGGGAGATTGCTTATAGGAATGCTGACTTAACAGGAACTGGTGCAGCTCTAGCAGGCGCAGCCGGGCAATGCTCATTAATACCCTGTCATTAGATTCCCCCAAATACAGGATGATGGTGAGAGAGGGATTCTGAGTGCAGTAATACTGCATTTTTAGGTGCTCTTTTCTATCAAAAGGAACAATCCACATGCTGTACAGGAAAAGCTCCCACAGGATTGTGTCCAAAGTTACTGAAAGCTGCAGGTTATTCTGCAATTTTTTAAAAAAGAACAATGATTGAGGATTTCTGTTCAGCAGATGTCCCATACTTCACAAGGTCTGCAAAAAAAGGGGGTTATGGAAAAGTAGCCCTGAACCAGACACCATGTCTATAGGATAAAGTTAAACCATTATGACTGTGAACTGCACCCCAACCGAACCCCGAGAACTGTGACCCTGGCTGGAAATATGTGATTTGAGCAAGCAAAAGAGCTTAAATAATGGGAGACAAGCCAGTAATTTTGTGCACTAATATTAGTGGTCTGCTCAGTACGCACACATGCTTAATGCTGTACAAAGCGCTAGCTGCTAAATTCCTGAGCCATTGTTGACTATAAGATAGCTCTATAGAAATGAAGGATTATCACCCAAGGATAAGCTGTTTTAAAACTGCAATCTAAGATACTTAAAAAAGAAATTCCAGTTCTAAGTAAAGAGCAATCCCTTGTTCCTGCATGACATTGTATTGAGAGCGCCTTCTTGCTTTCTTTAAAGATGTACAGAGGTTTTGAAAAGATGCCGCATGTTCAGTACATCTACACAGAGGCCTCTGAAAGTCTTTGTGGGGTCAAGCTTGAAGTCAACAAATACCAGTACATGATTACAGGTAAAGTAGCAGAAGAGTTTCTCTGGCACAGCTTGCTTGCAGACTGTCGTTGTTTGAACTGTATTTTGGAGAGGGGCGGTAGCTCTGTGCACAAAACTGTCCACAAAACTGCTGTGTTGAAAATATGAAGCTGTCTTATATCAAGTTGGCCCATTGGGTTATCCAGCACAGGTCTGTCTGGTTGCTGAGCTCTCTCAGGAGAGAAAGGTCCCTCCCAACAACTGTTGCTCCAAAAAAAATCTGAACTGGAGATAGCAGGGATTGAGCCTAGGACCTTCTATATGTAAAGCATGTGCTTTCCAACCGAGCTGAGGCTTCTCCCCAAAGGGAGGAGGGTCTCTCTGCTATCTCCACTGTACCAATTTGGGATAAGAGAACTGTCTGTCAGTAAAAGGCAGCCGTGGAAAGAAATCATATGCAAATTCAGAAGATGAATTCAGAAATCTCATTCAGCCTTTGGAGAGACTTAAATAATCTGGTATGCTAAATATCAATTGGCCTAATTAAATCCTGCAACACATTCCCCTTGTAAATGCAGCATTCACAACTGGGAAAATACAGTTTTGCATGTAAATTGAAAAAGAAAATTGGCACAACATAAGTCCTGTGCCACAACTTGCTTTATTGCAGAGAAAGCCATGGTGCTCCCATTCACTTGCCACATAGGAGGACCTTCCAGATGGGGTTCCCAACCTCCAGGTGGTGGCTGGAGATCTCCTGTGATTACAGCTGATCTCTAGGCACCTGGAGAAAATGGCTGCTGTGGCATTATACCTCATTTGAAGTCCTAACCTTCCCCTAACCCTGCTTTCCTCAGGCTCCACCCCCCAAATCTTCATGTATTTCCCAACCCAGAGCTTGCAACCCTACTTCCAGAGCTTCCATGCCACGGAAGAGCCAGCATAGGGCATATTAGCTGGTTCAGGAGCCTAATAAATGGAGTGGCTAATTTGCAATGTTTTCCTAGGTCGAGTCTATGATGGAAAGGTTTACACTGGGTTGTGCAACTTAAATGAGAAGTGGGATCAACTGACCCTAGCCCAACGCAAAGGACTGAACCATCGTTATAACCAAGGCTGCGGTTGCAAGGTATGGTGCTATCTCCAGAAAATGTTCCTAGATTTGACAGCAGCTTGTTAGGGATGTCCTGAGGGGGTGGTCAGGAAAGAGAACGCCCTAGAATTCCATCCAGACATTGTTAGATCCATGCTGTCATTGTATGACAGCAATTTGCAACTGGATTGTCTTGTCCACACATGATAATATAGTTGTGAATTATTGTAGTGAAATGATAGAACACTGTCCAATGATGTGTGCAGACTGGGAAAACAGAGCACAACAGCACTACAAAGACTAGGAATCCATTCAGATGACATTGCCTTTCCTATTAGGCTTAATGTTGCCTGGTTTAATTGAGCATGGAATTGGACTCGCTAGTTTTAAAAATGCGGGAAATATGCTTTCCAAATGATTTTTCTGCAGAATTATGAGTGCTAGGATCACTATTCTGAAGTAGCCAAGCCTGTTAGTTTTTAGAAGAAAGGGTAGAAGTGGTACATATTTCTCATGGTCTAGACAAAACGAGAGTGCATTAAAGCCTCAAAATGATTTTTAAAAAAATAATTTGAGCTAGCTCCTCACTTGTGTCATTTCTGTAACTGCAGATTAAGCCGTGCTACTACCTTCCCTGTTTTGTGACCTCCAAGAATGAGTGCCTGTGGACGGACATGCTCTCCAACTTCGGCCTTTCAGGGTCCCAGTCAAAGTATTTTGCCTGCATCCAGCAGAAGGAAGGTTATTGCAGCTGGTACAGAGCGTGGGCACCTCCTGATAAGACCATCATCAATGCTACAGACCCCTGAACACCCAACCCTCTTTCTTGTTTCTTCTCTCCTATGTGGCTGAGCGTTCTTTGGACACTAACTTGTATCAGATCATGACGAAAACGATGATATTAGTGCCTGTTTCTTGCGAATTTTAGCACTTCAACCTTTTTTTTTAAAAAAAAAACAACCTTTGCTGTCTTAATTGATTATTTGTTGTTTTAAATCACTTTTTTTAAAAAAGAATTGCTATCACTGGTTCTTTTCAGAAGGTGTTTATCTGGGAATTTGTGTTTACAACACCAGATAAATAAGGGAGTGTTTGCTCTCAGTTATATATCATTATCTATATAGCAATACAATCTATATTTTTGTAGGAAAACAAAAATCTCAAAAATTTCCCAGCTGGGTTTTGAATCATAATTCCAGCCCCTCTCTTCTGGCTTCCTAGACTGCTTCTTCATGCGTTCAGCATGTAGACAAAATGAAACCAGTTAGGATTAGGATTAAAAATATGAAAACAAGCCACATGCCTGAGGGAGGACAAGAAAGTTATGATGTTTGTACTGGATGGAGCAGTGGGAGAATCCAGTTGTCATGTACATTAGAAGCACCATATCAAAATGCCTGCCATGTGCCAAATGTGTGTTCCATGGTAGCTCTGGATTTGCACAGAGCATAAACAATAGCTTTTTAAAAAAAAAACAGCTCCAATTAATGGAGGTAATCTCTCTTCTAGTTGCAAACAAGAAGATTTGTTGAGAACCAAATCAACTCTATACTTTTTGCGTTTTGGTCTGGCTGCAGAGTTGCCTTTTCGACATCTAGGAAAAACTCAAATAAATGTAAACTTATTAATACAAAATAAAAGAATCACACAGATATCTGGATATGGGGACAAGGAGAGTGCCAGAGAAAGGGGATAAAAGATGGCAGTTAGGGCTAAGAAATTAGCTACCAAAATAGTGTTTTACTGAACTCAAATGTATATAGAAGTGAAGACATAAGCTATTTTTGACAGGACGTGGAACTGTTTCATGCTATAAGCAATGAAAGGTTTGATTCTGTTGCTTAAAAGGAGCGATCATACATTCCAAGTCACTGCTTATTATTTTATTCTTGTTTAATTCTCAAAGCTGTTGGAATGTCAGTGTTTCTACACTAGTGATAATAATCTGTGTTTATTTACCACACTATGCGCTTCCCTTCCTCCAACTGTACTTTCAGTCACACAACTGTTTTTGAGATTGAAGGATCACCATGCCAATGATATTTCCCCTGTCAATATTCATGTGATAAAATGGGTCTTACGAAAAGGTCCCAAGATGGCAGGCTAACCAAACATACTGCAAAACATTCAGTTTCTTGGACTTTTCAGGGAATGGTAAAATATTAGTTTTATCACACAGGGGTGGGGCACTGGTGGTTTTTCACATTATTACATTGTCAGGTGACTACTGGGAGGGGGAGAATTACCCACTGGTAATTTCCCCTCAGAAATGGTTTGTATCGGAACGCACAGTGAAATCAACAGAAACTGCACAGACAAGATGGGGAGAGACTATATAAACTTGGTTCCACATACTCAGACAGATGTGTTTCCTAAAGCTCTAGGTCTGAACGAGCTAAAGGATAATTTCTGGGGGATGATGTGATGTTTTCCTTCCAACATAGTTAAGCCGATCTGTGGTCAGAGACTCTGTATGACTTCTGGCAAGATGGATTTGGAGCTGGCTGCCCCATCTTCTCTGTAGACTGAATGATTTGTTTGTTTTATAATGGAAAAATATAATTTAAAAATCTCTTAATAAAAAATAAAACATATTTTACACTTTAATGTTGTCAAGCAGTAGGGTTACTGATGAGATGGGTGACTATATATTTTACTAAGGTTGTGGTGCGGGATGCAGGGCTGACACTTAGTACAAGTTTTGTTTTCTTTTTATTGGTGTCGCTGTTTATCTTACATTGAATATATATATTCTTCACTTCATTCCATGTAAGAAAACGGAGCTGTCATAAACTGAAAATTGCCTTCTGATAAACACAAGTATGAATGTAGTTGTTACCCCCCCCCCTCGAAATCAGCTACTCAGTCCTTGTGGCCAAGGTAGTTTTACAAGTGCCCTGGAAGAACCACTCCTGGAAGAGATTGCTGAGCTGGGGTTCACAACTGCAATCCTACCCCTTTTGTCTTGTGCATTTAATCCCGGTAAATGTCAGTGGTAGTCTACTGGCAGGAGGAGATCATGTAGTACAACTGCCCCTGGCTGTACCGAATTTAGACTGGAGGTAGGGGTCACGTGTCCATGAAAAAAATCTCTGCACATAGAAAATCAGCAGGTCAGAGAGAATAATATAATGGCGTACAGTTTTCTACATGCAGAAAATATAGTAGATAGTTCTTTCATGTGATCTCCAATGTGGAGTAATACAGTCCTGTTTTATCATATGGCTTTGTATAGACTAGCCCTCATACCAAGACTGCACTCAGAATTGGGCCAACAACAAATGCTTCCAGCAATCATTCTAGCAGTGAAACAAGGCCCTAGACCATTGTGTGGTGACAAGGCATCCCAAGAAGAAAGTGAGAGTGAGTTTTGTCAAGTGTACCTAAGTTTTATGGTTATATGATTGAAGTTTTGTACTGATTTCCAGAAGGAAGATGCTCATTGTTTGGAAACCGTCATTATTAAGAAAGGCTTACCAGAACTTTCATAGTGCCTTTGGTGATAGAAGGGATCTTGAACTAATGTTTTAAAAGAGCCAGAGGAACTAAATTTACAATTTATAGTTGCAGCCGACTTATGGTGACCCCATAGGGTTTTCAAGGCAAGAGATGTTCAGAGGTGGTTTGCCATTGCCTGCATCTGCGTAGTAACCCTTGACCTCCTTGGTGATCTCCCAATCAACTACTAACCAAGGCCAACCCTGCTTAGCACCTGAGATCTGATGAGATTGGTTTATCCTGGGCCATCCAGGTCAGGGCACGGCTTACTCCTAAGAAAACTGAAATGACTGGGATTCGTCTTAGGATGCTTCCACTTTAACATAAGCCTTGACAGAACTTCATAAAGATAAGGCTACCTAAGTGTTCACGGACAGTGGAAATCTGCACAGCTGGTGGTGGTTAACAGGGTCCTTCTCTTGGCTGCATGGCCAAGGCCAGCGGTCCATATTAAGGAGTATCTTTCCATCATAGAATTTTTTTTTTTAAAAAAAACTTCTGTGCAGGCATGCCACAAAGTGCATGAATTCAAGTCTGCAGCTGTATTGTATACAATATCCCTTAACATTAACTCTTAACAACTAAGCAGTTTTAAAAACCTGATTGTCAGGTAGACAAATCTGGAGATCTTATGCTTTAATAAGACTGCCAGACATCTACCTGTCTATTCAGATTGGTCTAGTCCACCTAAAATTACACTGGGACTTGAATTTTTTTTAAAAAAACTGTCTTCACCAACACTTTTCACTTTTGAAGTGGATGTTTTCCATTTAAGTGCGGCCAGTTATATAAAATGGTGGTGGGAGGGGACCCCCTTGCTTAGCACCTGCAACAGCGGTGATTATAAAGCCCTGACTATCCGCTTGTGGAGTCCCATTGCTGAAGAGAAAACTTGCCTTGGTTCATTCCTTGGAAAGCAAGAAGAGGAAGCAGCCTCTCATTGACAGAGATTTTAATTTGTATTTCCACTGATTGACAGCTCTGTGGGTTTTTATTATTTTCATTGACTGTAGAAGTTTAAGACCATAGCTGACACACTATGGTACTGATAATGCAGAAATCTTATGACTTGCTACAAAAATAAGTGTTGCTGTACAGGCTATTGTATATCTTTGGGCTTTGCGGCAGCAAATCAAAATTAGACCGCCAATCCAACAAAGTGATTTCTTTTTGCATGTGGATTTTCATTTTGCACAGCAGAAGGCAAAACTTATTTTGGAATATGCAGCACAGCTAAATGGGCAAAGGCAGAGGAGCAAGCACAACCCTCCACCCTACTGAATGAGGAAGCTGAGACAGAAAGCATTTTCTTTTATGGAAAGGCAAAAGGAGGGAGAAGAGTGAAGGTGGGAAGAACCCAGCAAAAAATACAACTCTTTTGGGAGATCTCCAAATTCCTCAGTACTATGATTAAGTACATACAACTTAAAAAATTAAGATATTGTGTATATTTTAGTTTTTTAAAAAGTTGTAAAGTGCTTTACAGCCTTTTGTTATTTACTCCCACAATGACCTTGGCCATCATTCCCATTTTATAGGTTGCCTTGACAAATGTGTAACTGCAACCCAGGTAAGCCTGACCCAAGTGCAACCCTCTCTCCACTGTACTCGCTTTCAGCACTAAGGCTGCTAAGTTTAGCTTAGCATTTGTCATTTAGCCATCCCTGTTCAAGTCAGTTGTCACCTTTCCATTGATTCCAAATTTGTGCTAATCAACAGTGTTTCAAAGGAAACCAGTGCTATGCCTCTTCCTTCAGAAGCCAGCCCCAATGAACTCAATGGAGTTTAGTTTCAGAAAAGGGTGCATAGGATTGCAGCCTTAATCTGCTTTTCCTTCTGCATTACCATCCTGACAATTCTGGACATTTATGAGTGATCTGGGAGAAAAATCCTCCACAGAAAGAACGTACTTTTTTGCTAAATTTTGTAGCACTGTTTACAGTTTTCCTCCTTGCTTGTTATTTATAAATTTTATATCCATTGAATGTATATTGTCTTTTAAGGTCATAATGTTCACTTTTTATAGTGTTCTTTTATTCTAAAACAATAAAGTGTTTTATTTCTATCATATTTTTTGTGCTTTAGTTTATTTGCTGGCCATTTTTTGGTTGAAAACAGAACAGTGAACTAGAGGGCTCTTGTTATGTTCTTGCAAGGCAACCTTACCCATCTTTACTAAGAAGTAAACCATAAATGAAGGTATTTAGGATGGCATCTCAATTATTATTATTATTATTATTTATTTGATTTTTATCCCGCCCTCTCGCCGAAGCGGCTCAGGGCGGCTTACAACAATAAAACCAACAAAACAATACCTCTAAAGCAATCTATACAATGCTCAATCCTATGAATTTCTAGTTATCAGTAAACCCCCTTGAGAGTCATTTGCAGCATGAGTTACAATACATTTAAGTCATTAATCTGGGCAGAACCTATAATGTGAAAGACTGCATCATAGGTTATGCCTCTAAAATATCAGTGAGGTGGGGGGATATTTGCATATTGCAATTAGCCATTGCAAGCTCCTCTTTATCGTGTAAATGTTGGGAGTAGAATCCAGTATTCTTTGATCATTTCTGCACCCTTTTCCGATCACTATAATACATATAATTTAATTTGGTTTGGGGGTTTTTTTGGGGAAAAGATGATAATGTTCACAAAGAACTGACCAAGTACAAATACAACCAAAACCGCATTCCGTTAATTCAAGTTCATTTTGCAGCTGTGTAAACACTTCTTCATCCAGTAGTCAAACTATAGTGGTTACGGTGAGGGGAATTGCTTTTTCCAAAGGTTACTTTTTAAAGCTATAGCCATTGATTCCTCTTATTCTCTTTTGAGAGAAGGATTTCTCTTTCACTTCTCTTTGATTTCTCTTTGAATAGAAATCAATGTACCCTTTGGTAATTTCACCACAGGATGGTGCTCTAGCAGGAGCACAGGAAGGTTTGAGAAGACACTGCCTATCTCCGAGCAGCTACAGAGCAAAATTCTGAACATTTGCAGACACACCCTCCCTTCCTGCCTCCCATCAAACCTCTCTTTGATCAGTTTGGAATAATTAAGAACAGCTCCTGAACTCGTGTGAAAATTTTCAGGCACCATTTATGGGAGCAAAGAGTTTTGTTCATGTACTATAATTTATTCTACAGAACTGGAAAGATGGCATGAGGCATAAGCATAGAAAGCATTCCTTGGCTGATGGATATACATGAATTGAGCTTCTTGACAAATTGACTTGTACCAAAGTGGCAGTCAATTGTTCTTTCCTACAGCTGTTCTGATACAAGAAAAAGAAAGTTCTGGGGAAACCTATGAACAAAGGCAAGGAGTGCAGGAATTGGCTCAGAAAGATGTTCAGGGATGGACAAAGCAGACAGTCACTTTAAACTCTCCAGTATTGTTATAACCTAACAGAGATTCCTGTTCTGCTCATCCTAACTGCTCACAAATTTATAGTAAGAGATGACCTTTTAAAAATATCCCATCCTATATTCCTGATATAGTACCATTTCTTACCTCTGCAATTTCATAATGGATCCTTTGTGAGTTTAGTGTCTCTAGCTTGCACAGCATCCTTTCTATACACTCCTGAACCTCCTGAACTTGCACCTGTCAAAATGACTGCTGACATGAACTTGACTTCTCAAAGCATGAACTGGTCAAAATTCATCACAAACTTTAGTTCGTGAGCTGGTTCATGCCCATCCCCAGCCAGGATATTGAGACACAAATGGAGGTATTGCCTCAATATCTTGGCTGCAGTGACTAACCATGACTCATGTGGACTCATGTGGAAGCTTTCCCAAGGATACCTGCATGATGCTACCGTTCATTTTTGTTGTTCAGTTGCACCATTGAGTCCGACTCTTCGCGACCCCATGGACCAGATCACGCCAGGCCTTCCTGTCTTCCGCCGTCCTCTGAAGTTTGCTCAATTTCATGTTCGTTGCATCTATGACACTGTCTAACCATCTCATCCTTTGCCGTCCCCATCTTCTTTGACCTTCAATCTTTCCCGGCATCAGGGTCTTCTCCAGTGAGTGCTCCCTTCTCATTTGGTGGCCAAAGTATTTGAGCTTCAGTTTCATTATCTGGCCTTCCAGGGAACAGTCAGGGTTGATTTCTTTTAGGATTGACTGATTTGATCTTCTTGCAGTCCAAGGGACTCTCAAGAGTCTTCTCCAGTACCATAGTTCAAAAGAATCTATTATTCAGCGCTCGGCCTTCCTTATAGTCCAACTCTCGCAGCCATACATGACTACTGGGAATACCATTCATATTCTGCCTCAAAACTCATGTTTTCAAAATTAATCTTTGACCTCCACCAAAAACAAACAAGCACAAGCAATTGGAATGAACGCGCATTCTTCCCTTGCTTATCCCCACCTTCACCTCCCTCCCTGCCCTTTGTTGTCTTCCTTATGTCAAATTTTATATTTTAAGCTTCTCATGAATGGGATCTGCCTGTCTTGATCTCTGTAAATGATCATGCACATAGATGGCACAATGGGGCCATGGCTCGGTGGTAGAGCATCTGCATTGTATACAGAAGGTTCCAGCTTTTTCAGACCTCTACTTTTTAAAATATATTTCAGCGTTTATTACATTTTAGTGTTTTAGTTTTTCCTATGGTAATGTTATGAAATATTAACAAATTGCTGCCATGAGTCAGTGTTATACAAACTCTGTTTTAATGATGCTGACGATCATGCAGACCATGAGACTTTCAAGTTACACTAGGAAAAGAAAGATTAGGGAAGAAGATAGTGACTTTGTAGATAAATATAAAAGGAAGCTTTCCAAAACCAACCTTGGACTGGGAGAGGGAGTGAGAAAAAGACTGGAATTTATAGCCAACTGCTTCAGGCTACCCTAGAGTAGAACTGCCAGATTCATACCAAAGGCATAAATGCTCCAGGGTGGTGGAATAGGGTGCAGCCATTGCAGTGTCTAGTCTTCACCCACTCTTCTTCTACATGCTGTAGGAAAATAAGGGAATCCTCCTACTACAGCAGGCCAGCAGAAGAGGATCCATAATGGGACCCACCCTGGAGTTATAGTAGCTGCTTCTGAATTTTTAGAAGTATAGGCTCCTTTGGAGTGAACGCCCAGCTATCCCACTCCTGTAGCCATCAATTCTGTATTATGGCAACAAAACCCTGAGTGTAATAAGTGATTTGTGATGCGTTTAGAGGGTGCTAAACTGGAAATGGCAGGACACTGATGCATGAGTAGAGGTGAACATTTGCTGTGGCTGCTGCATTGCTCGTCTATGGGTCTTTGGAACAGATGTTGAAATTATTTATCAGTATTTATGGTGGCAATGAACATACAGTATAGCTTTAAGCAAGCCAAGAAACACACTCTCACAAAGGAAAGTCAATCCAGAATTATAACAGTCTCCCAATCGCACACTAATGAAATCATGATGTTCCTCTTTCTGAATCCCAGAGACATCTTCTGATTACAGATTGCTGGATACTGCTAATCCGCTTAAATCATGTCCAGAAGATCATCATCTCCACCTTCATTTGCCATTAGTTAAATTTCCATGGACTTTTCTTTGGGAGCAAGGAACAAGTCCTTTACTTGAGACCCAGGAGACTTTCTGTAGACAACACTGACCTTAAAGACCAATAAGATTTCCAGGCCTTTTGAGAGTCAAAGACCTCGCCAGGCAATGCTCCCTCTAAGCTGTGGAGTGTCTTGTTAGCAAAAATTTTACTTTGTGAGCCACTGGCATGAAAGTTGTGAGCGAGCGATTTGGCTACTTCATAAATTAGTTTGCTCTGGAGCCATCCTTCCTGAGCTAAGACAAAAATGTGTGAGCTGGAAGCTAAAAAGCTTTGAGCTAGCTCACATTAACTCATCTTAGAGGGAACACTGTCTCCAGGGTATAAACTTTCAAGAGTCAAAGCGCCCTTTATCAGAATCTGGAAATTTTGTCACTCTATAAGGTAATACTGGCGAGATCTTGTCCATGGGGTCGCGAAGAGTCGGACTCAACTGTGCAACTGAACAACAACAACAACAGTAATACTGGACTTGAATCTTGCTGTTTGACTCCTACCCAACTGAATATTAATCTTGACAGATCAGTGTTCTGACTCAGTATAAGGCAGCTTCTTGTGCTCAGTATATAGGTAGATATTACATTTCTTCTCTGCAGTGCATAAGGATGCTAGCACTGCTGTACTGAATTCTGTGTTTTCTTGTTTTTTATTTACTTTTTAATTCAGGTATTTGTATGCATAATAGAAGGTAATATGGACTGGTACATTAGCAGCTACCATGAGAAGTACATGAATGAGACAGAAGATGCCGTTCAGGACAACAGGTCTTAACATATAAAATTGATCAAATGAATCAGCAGAATCAGAGGAGTATGTTCTAATGGGCACATATGTGGAAAAGCATGATTACACACCTGTCTTTGCAGACTTGAAGACACAGAAATTTACATCAGGACAGTTTCATCTGAACAAATCCCCTTTTGTAAGACACATGAGCCTTTTTCAACAGCACAAATATTAATTTCATGTACCTACATTTTCCCATGTGCTCTCCCAAGAGCTAAACAAAAACAGGAAAGAAATTTTCCTGTACCTTACAGAATCACAGTCCCTTCCTCTATAGCATACCAAAAAAGTAAAGATACTCACCATCTGCTTATGGCTTGGAAAGAATGATTGCTCCACAAGAGGGAATTTCTCAGGACCCAGAGAGTTGAAAATTTTAATTAGTTGAGAGAACTAGAAAGAAAGAAAGAAACAGAGAATGTCTGTAACTTTACAAGCACACAAAATAACCATACATACAATACAACTGCTCCCATCCTACTCTGGGTTTTCAAATTCTGAGCCACAAACTACCCCTTATGTGCTGAGCAGGGAGAATTCCAGTAGATGCAGCTTCACCCCACTGCTGTAGTGATGAAGAAACTGCAGTTGATGAATATCGCCTTGTCATGCACTGGAGAGGGTGAGGAACTGAAAACAAAATTTCCGTAACTTTCCCCTCACTGGATTATGGTAAAATACATAGTCACAGCATATAATTTAGACCCTCATTTTCAGTGTTGGACTCTACACAAAGAGATCAACAAAAACAACAATAACCCTGAAACAGAGCTTTACTTTCTACTGAATCACCTGTTGAAACAACCTACAACTTCTGAATGTTAAATAACAAGATAAAGGGACAGAATTCCCAAGCCATTTGGAGCATGATCATCAAAAGGTTAGTCTCTTAGAGATATGACTTTTATAAACATATAACACCAGTTTCTTCTGACTCTCGTGAGATCAAGGAATGGAATGGGGGTGGGGGGGATACACCAAAAAGCCAAGGGGGTTATCTCAATCCAGTTTTATTAGGTTTGCCAGGTGTTACCTGGCAGCCGGCAAGGGTGGGGGGGGACCCTTTATTCTTTTGGGGATCTTCTACCACATGTGTGAAGTGATGTCATAATGTCTCCAATGTCAGGGGGAACACTCTAGTTTTGGGGTAAAACTCTATGGTTTGTAGTTGATTTTAACATAGTGTTTTGTCCAAAAACTAGAGCGTCGCTGCACAGTGTCAGCAATGTGGTGATGTCACTTCTGGGTGATGTTGTCACAGTGCCTTTCGGGACAGTTGGGGGGGTCTGGCAACCTTAAATTCTATTGGAGGGAAGCTTTGAAATTTACAATGCAAATGAGATATGTAAAATCTAGCCTTCATCTCAAGGGCTGGCATCAGCAAGCAGCTAAATTTATTTTCCATTCTGGTAAGGTTGTCAGTGTACACTTTGCTGTTTCCCATCTGGAAACCATTAGGGATGGGAGTAGGGGATGCTGCTGACCCCTGGGACTTTTCAGTTTAGAAAAGCAATGACTAAGGGGATAGATAAAAGTTTATAAAATTATAGATAGAGGTTTCTAAAATTATGCACCAGGTGGAGACAGTGGACACAGAAACCTTTTTCTCCCTCTCCCAAAATACTAGAGCCAGGGGTCGTATCGTAGAAAAAGAGCTAGGGGAACACATTAGCATTACTCATTAGCATATGCCACACACCCTGACATCACCGGAAGTGTGTCATAAGGCCACACCCCCTGACATAACCAGAACCTCCCGAGCCCCAGGCAGGCAGGGGTGGGGAGAGGCGGGGAGGATGCAACTTACCCTCCCGCTTCTCCTGCCTCCTCCTGGCTGAATGAGGGCCGGAAGCGGGGCAGCCGGAAGCAGGGGCGGGGCTTCATTGTTTGCCCCGCCTCCCCGCACCTCATCCAGGGGAACGGCGATTCCCCGTGATCCCCCCGAATCGACCTCTGACTAGAGCTTGGGGTATCCAATGAAATTGTGGGCAGTAGATTCTGGATGGACAAAAGGGAATACTTCTTCACACAGAGAGTGATTAAAATATGAAATCTGCTGCCACATGATGCAATTATGGCCCCAATCATAGATAGCTTTAATTGGGTTTAGACATGTTCACAAGAATAAGTTTATCAACAGCACTAGCGATGGTGACAAAAGAAAACATCCATATTCAGATGCAGTAGACCTCAGAATGCCAGTGCTAGGAAGGCCTTGGCCTCTATGTCCTGTTGTTGGCCCTTGCCACAGTATAAGACAGGATTACAGACTAGAAAGACCACTAGCCTGATACAGCAGGGCTCCTTAAGTTCTTATGGTGTTGCAGACTCAGTCGAATACTACCTCTCACCAGCTTAATGATTCTCCACACTGAAAGATTATGTACAACAAATTCTCTTAAAAGACTTTGCTGGTTTTCAATTTCATCTGACTCCTGGGTCCTAGAAACAGGCCATTCTATCTATCTCCTTCCCCGCCATGTAATCTATATAATGGCACCTCTGCAACCATTCCTGCCTCTGCCAGCAGAGATTCCATGGTGGTGCCTACAATGTGTTGGAGTCAATTGGGCTCTGTGCATTGTACAGGCCCTTCCTTCACAAAAGTCCCAACTATCACAATGACAAGGAAACAGCCAGCATTTTAGAATTTCACTCTGAATTTGTTATTTGTATACATTTTTTAGGTGTCAACACTTGCCTGGAGCCAGAAGCAGCATGAGCATGGATTTAAATAAATAAGACAAGTTTAATTCTTTGTCCTACTGGAAAATTGGCATGTTCAATCACTATGCCACAAATATATTTTAAAATGATACACAGGGCTGTATGCCTTTCAGATGTCATCATGTGTCTAACAAAATCATCCTTTCAGGGGGGGAATGGATGAGACTAACAAAAATAATCCTCTGTATCTGTGATTACTGTTGGTAACACAGGTTGTTGGCACAACAATAAGTGATAGGTCAAGATGGGTAGCCGTGTTAGTCTGTCTGTAGTAGTACAAAAGAGCAAGAGTCCAGTAGCACCTTAAAGACTACAAAAACATTATGGCAGAGTATGAGCTTTTGTGAGTCACTACTCACTTCTTCATATACAACAATAAAAGAATAGCATGTATCTCTTAACTGCTTGTGCTAACTTCCAGTGTCCCAAAAAAGGAAAATAAAACTACTTTGACTTGCACACTAAGCAAACATAAATTAGAGGTTCATGGGGTTCAGGAAAATAAGGATTTATTCATCCTGTACCCACTGTAGCACTATATTTAATAGTAAAGCTTCTTGTCCCCCTCATCATAAAAATAAAATCAGATATGCTGACCCAGCCCTCAGTAAAATAAGGGGAAGGACATCAGTGGCCATTCATGGGAGCTCACAGTTCATATGTGTGGGGAGAAGAGGGAAGGGGAAAAGGGTGGGCTCATGTTGCTCCTACATGACATTATGTCAGTGCTTCTCCTAGCTACATGTATGAAGCAAGGCACAGAAATGATGACATCGCCATGAACATTCCACTGCAGCATGGTAGTTAGGGAAGTGATTTAGAGTTCAAGTATATGACACGTGGTTTTCCTACTTCGTTTCCTCTCATTAAACATATGTGTAACAGGTTGGCCTCTGTGCACAGTACAGTGAGGACACCCACAGACAAGGAAGTGGTCTTTATATACTTGGGGGAATCCCCAGCTATGCAGAAAGTCATTACTTTGCATATTATCTTTCAGAAGCCACTCCCCTAAAACCCTAGCATGAAGCAAAAGTAACTCCCCTAAAAACCTAGCCTAAATTTCCTTCAATAGGGAAGCCATGTTGACAGCAGCTGAGTGTCAGTTAAAGGAAACAAGGGAAGAAGAAACCAGCCTGTGTGGCACACCTTTTCCAAATTGTTCCCCCCTTCCCACAAGTCCTCCTGGGACACCATTATCACAAAGTCTACTAGATAAAGTAGCTAGCTGTGAATGCCATGTCAATAACACACACAGCAAAAGAAGGCCTCACGGAAATAAGTTGGAATGTCTACATAATCGAGGGAATGCCAAGGTATGCAGAGAAGTATGGCTTTATTAATCAAAAAGAAAAAAAAATCCAAAATGACCTGATGAAAACTGCATATGGTCAAAGAAGGATGCATGATCATCCCTGGCGGGGAATACAGAATCTGTAACAGAGAGCAGAAATCTGTTTCAGAAAGAATGGGGAGGGGAAATTAAGCCCGGAGAGTTTGTAGCACCTGGAAGAGGAGACTGAAGGGGGTGAATCAAGATTTCCAAATTGTTCCTGCTCCCATGATTCTTTATTAGACTTTTATTGAACATTATTGAATGTTTTAACTGACTTTTTAAAACTGTCCCTAGAGAGTCAGAGCAGGGATCCACATTTAGTACCCCAGTCCAGCTCCACTACGGTGCAGTGCTGTCTCTTCCCCTCTCTGTACCCCAGCTACTACTCCTTTACAGAATGTGGATGCATTATATATAAGCACCTTAGTATAATCATATGCTGCAAAATATGCACATTGTCCTGTTCACACAAATGGTTGCCACATGTAAGGAGACATAATGACTGAAAACTCCTTACGTAGCCTACGTATCTGCAGCAGAGTAATATTAATTCCCAAGGTTTTGTTGTCTTAATTCCTAAATGGTTTACCATAGCAAAAATCTGTATTCCCTGCCAGGGATGATCTCAGCGATGTAAGTCACAGCTGAAATGAATAACAGACTCACATCCAATTAAATAAAGCCAAATATTATTGCCAAATCTCAATCTAAACTCTTTGATTTTATTCAAGAAGAAGGAGTTGGATTTATACCTGGCCCTTCACTTGGAGTCTCAGAGTGGCTTACAATCTCCTTCCTTTCCTCTCCCCACAATGGACACCCTGTGAGGTAGGTGGGGCTGAGAGAGCTCTGAGAGGACTGCTCCTTTCAGAATAGCTCTCAGAGAACTGTGACTGTCCCAAGGTCACCCAGCAGCTGTACGTGGAGGAGTGGGGAATCAATCCCGGTTCTCCAGATTAGAGTCCGCCACTCCTAACCACTATACCAAACTGGCTCAAGGAAGAAAGACAAGTCTTATTAGCAAGTTCCCTTGAACTCCCTTGGACTTTTAGTACCTGGGCAGTCCAATTCCATGAATCAGTCAACTCTGTGTTGGGGGGGGGGGCGGACAGAGCAGTTCCATGGTAGAGCATGTTCTACCAAAGTCCCAGGTTCAGTGGTACAGCATTATCAGTGAATGCAGAAGGCCCCAGGCTGAGTCGCTGTCATCTCCAATTAAAAGAATCGGGTAGGAGATGATGGGAAAGACCTCTGCCTGAGACCCTAGAATGCTGCTACCAGCCTGAGTAGGCAATACTGACCTTGATAGATCAGTGGTCTGACTCAGTATAATGCAGCCCACAGTGTACAATTTGCCAGTGCCTCCAGTTAAAGGATCTCAAACAGCAGGAGTTAGAAAACATTTCAGTACCCTGCTGCCAGATAGAGAACAATATTGAGCTAAATGGACCAATGGCCTGATTTGGGGTATAAAACATATAATCAAGTTAAGATGCCAGATTGCAAACATTAGCATGTACCACTTTCTGTATTTGCAAGTAAAATGGGTACTTCTTTTTATGCCCCTTTGTCCTGAAATTGCAATATCAGCATGAAGCAGGGATAAGTGGGTTTAATTTCATCTTAGTTTCTGAAAGGAGACTCAAGGAGAGTCAAGTTGTTAATCCAAAATCAGATAAATCCCATCTTTACAATGTCTCAAAGCCCCATTGCATAAAGCCTTACAGTAGAAAATATATGCTTAAACAGAAAGGTTTTATTTGCCTTCTAACGAAGTCCATGGCCAGGCTTTGCATGCTTCCCTAGGAAGAACATTCCGCAACTGGAGCAAAAGAGAAGGCTCATGCCATGATCTAGCATGCTTTTATTGCTTTATTATTCTAACTCACTGTGAACGTGTTATGTTGGATAAACTAGTCATAAATCTTGGGATAAATAAATAAATACATCCAGAGTCCAGTTTCCCTTGCAAATATTAATGAAAAAAAATGTTCCCAAGCAGCATGTCCACCCTAAGTATGCTGGAATTAGTCTGGGCAGGGCTTTCCAGGCACCATAATTTGTGCCTGGAAGTGAACAACGCAACATATGCAGTGTTCCTCTGTGTTAAGATGGGAAATGGATTGTGGTGCTAGGCAGTTACCACATGATCAGATCTGTGAATCTCCAGACAAATCATAAAGGACTGGTGATTGCCCTTTTCATATCCCTGCCATTCTTTGTCCACTGCAGTCTTTTGTAGCTAAAAAGATAATGTATTTGAGCATCTTAACCAGTCACCCAGTGGAAATAATTTATTTAACATATTTCTACCCCTCTTTTCCCCCAAGGCAATTTACACAATTGTGCCTACAAAGTATTATACACATTAAAATCATGCAAATAAATTCAGTATCCAAAAATCAACAGATGGTCAATACACATACACACAGACACACAGCAGCCATCAGTAGCCCAAACATCAACAAAACACCATCTGAAATAGAATTTTCTTGTACCTTTTTCTAAAGACTGCTAGGGAAAGTACTCTCCTTGCCTTGTGGGTGGAGCAACAGTTGAGAAATTGCATGGGCTGAGGAAGATCATCACATACATCTACGGAACTGAACCAGCTAATTTAAGGAATGCAGTTGGCACAAGGGCTAATTACTGAGTTGAATATTGGACTTCTATTCATAATAAAATCTAGACTGCAACATCTCCCACTCTCATTCTAGGGCCGTGGCCACACTGGCAGCTTGGCGCGATATAGTGCGGCCTCTAATTGAACTGGCTGAAAATGTTGCGGGGCATATCAGCCACACAACACACCCTGCTGCAGATTACCCATGGAGACATCCTGTGGTAAAGCATCCACATTATTGCAGAACCTCAGCCATAGAGCGCATGGCCAAAAACCTCAACATTCATACACACAAATAAGTGCCCATGCACATGCTCATGCACTCATGTGCATGCGTGCACATGCATATGTAGGCAATTAAAAAAACCCTCCCTAGTGGCAGAATGGATCTGCAGGTACAGACTGCCAGATCTGTTCTGTGCATGCTCCCCTGCGTTCAGACATCCGGCCATGCACAATGACTGTGCGGGGGACCAAAAACACCACTTGTGATGTGGTGCCTTTTTAACCCGGCTCCAAGTTGTCCTATGATGGAATAAGTATGGCTGGGGAACACCTGACAGATGTGGCTGTCTGACTGTGCCCATTTGATCCAGAGGGGAGGAGTTGCTGTGTCAGGCCAAACTGCCTGTGTGAGCATGGCCTAGGTTAGAGCAGATTGTAAATCCAATGAGTGATCTGCCATGTATGAAAATAACAATGATAATAATAATGATAATGATAGCCCCCACCGGTGACAAGATGCTCAAAGCATGGATGCTGAAGCCCTTGCAAATAAAAAGTTGGAGGGACCTCATTACTGAATCCAAAATCACTGCCACGTAGCCTGCTGGCAGAGGGCAAGCGAGAACCTTTAGTTTGAGATATGTGTGGTACGCAAAGCCAGCCATATGCACCCACTGGTCAAAGAGTAAAGGAACCACTGACTGCCCCTTTCCTAACTGTGCCTCTTCTCACTCTCTGCAATCTTCTGTGGCTGGAAGGAGAAAGCATTCAAACAAACAACAAACTAACAAACAAAAAGACTTGGGAGGGTTGAATTTGGAGCTCCTTCAAGTGTAGGTATGGCCAAGAATCTCTCCCCTTTCACTGCATGTGACTGATTTGATTGATTAGCTGCAGTGTGTGTATAGTGCCTTTCAACTCTGCAATGCCTCTCCATAATGAAGTCAGTTGACAGAAAGACAATATCGTTCTGAGATGGGACTTAATGAATGAACCTAAAGAATGCCACCTACCACCCAGGGTTTGCTGCAGAAATTGTAGACGGAGAAAAAAGAATTGATGCTGTGGACACCACCATATTGGAGGCCAATGATAAGGCTGCGGAAGTCCTCTCCTAGAGCCATGTTGTAAGCATGCTGCCGGACAAGAACAAAATCGGGCTTGAAGGATCTAGGAGACATAATCATCAGAGTACATTTTTAAGAAGCCAATCTTCTTAGGTTCTCCTCTTCCTATTTTCTCTCATTTTACCTTCTTTATGACCTGTGCATGGTGGAAACTGCTCAAATTTCAAGCACGGCTCCAATCATTATTGTATCAAAGACATCATTAAATAAAATCCTCCATTGCCTTCCTTAGTAGAACTCGGAGGACTCCAAATATTTTCCTCACAATTTCCATTACAGGAAGGATCAGGCAGGAATGATGTGTAAGAAGAGCTAAAGATAATAAATTATGGACAGAAAAGCATCTTCCCAGCAGTTCTCTTCTGAGAATCTTGGATGGATCTGGTCTGGTGACACTTTTTGCAATATACTGTGCAGATGAGAGAGTACAAAGCCAACTTCTGAATGCTTGGAGCTGGAAACCAGTTTAAGTACCTTTGTATAGGAAGACTATATGTGGTATTTTGAATGCACACATCCATTAGACACACATTCAGTTTTAAAAGAAATTATCCCTTACCCCAGAGCACAAGATAAAACAATCCTTGTGCTTCCCACGTTCTGGTTGATAAGAGGCCTCTGGTTGTCATCTCCACATCTAGCACAGGCATGTAAAGATTTGTTCTCATCATTATTGCCCTGTAGGCCTTGAATTCCACCTCCTTGGAGACTTGCCAAGGCTCCAGTCTAAGTGTTTTTCTGATGCAGTTCTAAGACTTGAGCTGTGTTTTAGTAAGCATGGCATTTTCTAGGGTCTACTTCTTTCATTTTAATTGGTTATTTCACAAATGTTATTAGGCAAGTTTGGTTTTTTTCCCCAGACTGTACAGTTTCAGGAAACTCTTTTCAAGGTTGGCTTGTCTACTGCAGGACTAGTGTGTATTGCAGAAGATTTTGTGGCATATTCCAGGGTGGACAGTTTGTCCACCTAGAGTACTAACCAGACCAGTTTTGGCTCACTGTTGTCCCACCAAGAGCAAGAGCCTTAGATGACAGCACTGCGTACACTACAAATAAATGGTAGGCAGATTGCTGTGATTCAGACTAGCTGTAGGCTTCAGTTCCAACAGGCACCAAGCTCAGTTGACCCAGAATGCTTTGACTAACTTTTGGAACAGAAATGCTCTCTTGATGCTCTAGGCAAAGGAAGGAAAATGCATAATTAGTCAATACGATGCGACAGGCTTGCACATTGCTGTGGGATTAATGGCCTCCTCAGGTAATACTCTGAGGCATAAAGCCAACAACATGGGAGCTTTCAGCTACCTAAAAAGTGCCATAATCCCCTCAAGAATGTGCAGCCTCAGGTATGTCTGAGCTAATAGAAAAGAACAGTTGTGACATTGTGTCCCCTGGATGCAAAGACATTGTTGACACAGGGCTTGTACATAAAACTGAACTTACTGAGCTGCATTGTTCTCAGCCTTGTGCTCTGTAGCCTAAACACCTTGGGAGTACAACATTAATACAAACATATCACTGCTCTGTATAATGAAGTCTAGGAGAAACATTCATGTTATACTTTGGCTGAAGGATTAGTCATCGCTAAAATATTTTTTTAAAATCCCAAAACCATCTAGATATCCAGCAGTTTAAAACAGCTATCCAAGACTTATTTTTATTTACTTCATTTATACCCACACTTTTCTCCCCAGTGGGGAACAAAAATGGCTTACATTGTACCTTGTGCCGCCACTTAATCCTCACAAACCCCGCTAAGACGTAGGTTAGGCTGAGAGTCTGTGACTGGCCCAAGGTCACCCAGCAAGCTTTCACAACAGAGTGAGGATTCAAACCTTGGGTCTTCCAGATCCTAGTCTCTAACCACTACACTTGCCCCTATGTAGACAGGGGATGGGTAGGGAGGTGGCTCTGATATCATGCTGAGATTCATAGGGTCTCCAGAGTCTCATAGCCCAGCTTTAAGCTTGTGCTATTGTGAGCTTTGGAGACACTGCCAAAATACAGAGTAACTGCAGGGATAATTTCTCTTGCCCTACTCCAAGCTTGGGATACCAAGTTTCAGAAGCACATAGTATAATGCAAAGACAGGAATAATTTCCTTCCCTCCTCTTCCCAGCTTCAAAGTAGCATAATCATGAGAGAGAGGAGAGAGACATTCACATGGCAAGGAAATCTGTGAACTCCCAATAACTCCCCAGTATTTAATAAGCATGTCTCCATTGTCCCACTTCCAAGTTGGCTCCTCTCCAAGTCTCACACAAATTAGCCATTTAGAAAGTGTTTTCCATTAATAACAAAGGGTCGAACAAAAATCAAACTATTTAATAATGAAATTAAATTGTACAAAAAAGGAAGCTTCCTTAAAGAAAGGTCATGGACAAAGATAAGAACAGGTGAACGAAAATCACCATGGGTAAAAGGCATAAAGGGTGGTGTTTAAAAGGGGGAAAGAGTAGACTGATCAGACAAAGCAAACGGTATCTACAAGAACCCCCCCATGACACACATATTTTTTTTAAAACCTGTACTGCAATTTATTTATTTATATGATAAATACACAATTTACTATATACATTTTGGGAAGCCCAGACGACTGTGAGAAGGAAATTTACCAATTATGCAATGCAGCTCTGTTCATGATTCATAGGGTCCCAGGCCTGAAGATGGCTTCCCCAGCTTCCAGACCTATGTGTCTGTATTTGTATTTTTCTGTCTAAAATGACCACTTTGAAAAGGAAATCAATGAAACAGATATAATTTTATTTGTATCCCATCCTTCCAAGTAAGATCTCAGGGCAGCATATTTAAAGTTTTCCCCTTTTATCTTCGCTGGAGTCTTGTGAGAAAAATTAGGCTGAGAATAAATAATATACCAGCGTGGTGTAGTGGTTAAGAGCGACATCTGGAGAACCGGGTTTGATTCTGCACTCCTCCACATGAAGCCAGCTGGGTGATTTTGTGTCAGTCACAGCTCTTTCGGAGCTCTCTCAGCCCCCGAAATAAGTCTAGCTCACCACTTAGTGGTACATGATGCTAATGAGCTAGAACATAAGGTTGCCAGACAATCTTCAGATCTTCTGGCTATGCTACACACAATACTATAAGATAATAATAACTATTAGTACATTTCTATGTTACTATTAAAAAGGTAAAAGTTCCCTTGCTCGAAAGCCAGTCGAATCTGACTCTAGGGTTGCGGTGCTCATCTCTGTTTCAAAGCCGAAGAGCCAGCGCTGTTCGAAGACATTTCCGTAGTCATGTGGCCGGCATGACTAAACACCAAGATGCATAGAATGCTGTTACCTTCCCACTGAAGTGGTACCTATTTATCTACTTGCAATTTCTTGCTTTCAAACTGCTAGGTTGGCAGGAGCTGGAACTAGAGACGGGAGCTCACTCTGTCATGCGGCACACTCAGGTCTCGAACTGCTGAACTACCGACCTTCCACAGCCTGCAGTTCAGCGTCTTAACCACTTGAGCCACCGCAGCCCCGATGTTACTATTACTACAATTATATCTCAGAGGAGACCTAAGACTTTACAGACAAAAAATTAAACGCTAACAAAGAACTCTCAGTAAGCAACAGCGGGGGGAAAGTATTTCCCGGGATCAAGTAAAAGTCTTCTGGAATTGTATATGTGTTCAACAGAGCAGAATCAGAGTCCAAAGTGCTAACCTTTGTTTGTACCCTCAGAACGAGACTCAATAAAAGGCTATGATGAAAGGAAGCAAATTAAGATAAGAATGATACATGATCAAAAATAGAACTTTAATTTTTCCTGCTATTTAACTAATTATTAAAAACAAAACCCACCCTCAATCTGATAGACAATAACTCCTTCTGATAAGGAATCTGGAATGTGAAATGTCCATGGAAATAATTAATCTCTCCAATCTTTCCCCACCCTTGTCTGGTAATAGTCATTTCTGATACTGTGGCAGCTGCCTGTACTCCAAATGTTTTTCAAATAACTGTCAGCATCTTTCTCACACATCGGCTGGACGCCAGCTGCTGAGGAGTTAAAGAGGGACATTATTCATCCACGTGATAAGCAAACTCCCAATGAGAGATCACCCCCCCACCCCAACAGCTGTTTAATAGCAGCAACTGCAAAGAAGGCTGCAAAAGACAGAGAGAGAAGAGAGTTTTCCATCCCCAAGGTCTTTGTTTTTAAAAGGTGGTAATGCTTGTTGTTTATGACAAATCAATTTACAAACCAGAATAATTTTTAAACCTTAACATAGATCCCTGTAAGACATGATGTTGTCAAATACATGTTTAATATGAGATGAACAGCAACTATGTCATGACTGGTATTATAACACTAGTATTTACTCAGTCCAGAATGTTGCAATATAGGTTGGCATTTGTACACCAGCAAAAACACCATTGTCAGTTGCAGTTGTGGAACATTGTACATAACATTTGTACAGCAGAGAAACTGTGGAAAGAGACAATGTTCATCCCTGAAAGCATTCTTGTTATCGCTAGGGTCCTTTCCACACTAGACCTTAAATCCTGGTTCAGCCCTCTCCCCGAACTTACATTCTACACTACACTCGAGTTCACCCCTGTAATTATCTCAGGGTATTTTTTGGTTCCACATTACATTGAGGTCACCCCGATTTCGCCCCATAATTGTCCTGGGATAAACAGATGCTGTTATAACCAGGGATAAATGAGAAGACCCTGATGAAGACGGGGACGGCAAAGGATGAGATGGTCAGACAGCGTCATAGATGCAACGAACATGAAATTTAGCAAACTTCAGAGGACGGCGGAAGACAGGAAGGCCTGGCGTGATCTGGTCCATGGGGTCGCGAAGAGTCGGACTCGACTGTGCGACTGAACAACAGCAACAACAAAAATTGCGTCATGAGTTGAACTCTGATAAAACCAGGGATGAGATCCAAGTGCGAAAAGGACCTAGGTTTCCAGCTCCACCTTAGGAGGTAGATATCTGGGATATCTGAGGGCATTGCCAGGGGAGGGCAGAGTTTGGGGGGATGTGATGTTTGCTAAGAGAGGGAAGGGGTCC